ACCCTTGACACCTCAACAGCCAGAGTCAAAGCAAGGTCCCTTTGAGTTTCGGACCATGTCTCTGGCCCATTCATCTGAGACCACTGATGGATGGGCTTGAACAGGACACACTTGACTCATGTTCTCCCTTACCGGAGATGTCAGAACCCCCCCCCTCGTCTTTCAGGGAATGCCAATGCCAATGCCGTGCCGTGCTTTTCGAAAACGCCATATTTGTGTGCTTGCTACCGCTGCAAGGTTTTGATCTGAGTTGTGTTAGTGTCCAGGAGACTATGAACTTTGAACTGCGCCCCCTTTTTTTTTCTTCTCGAGATACTCTTTTCGGACTTTTTATTAACCATTCATGGCCGGTTCCGACAAAGTCCCATAAACTTCCATCATGGCAAAGTCAGAATCAACCGTTCCTTTTCTCTGCGCACGCCCTTTGGTTTGCTCCGTCCCCCCGCGGACCCGGCCGCCGGATCCCCGAGACGGGCAACCTCTCTCTCTCCGGTCCAAACGACAGGGTCTCGACCACGGCGGAGTCTCAGGACGGAGGGAACGACGATGAGACGCAAACAGGGACCCTTTGCGGATGAGTGAGAGAGACAGAGACATGAAGAGGGTCGCGCCAGTTCACCGGTCTACGCAGCGCGCCGACCGGTGAGGCGGCCCATCTCTATTTAGAGAGGCATGTCATGCAAGATGCTGCGCTGTTTTTGCTTTTTGGGGGATTTAGCGAGGGAGGGGGGGGGGTCCAACGATCGATAGCGTGGATGGGAGGCGGGCTGCAGATGGGGGCATGAACTAGAAAGCTACATGTCTCTTTTCTTTCTGGTCTAGCTGAACACATGTTTTTTTTTTTTTTCGAGCTCGCCACGGAGAGAGACAGTTGATATCTGACAGAAAATTTAATCGAGATGTGAGAGGGAGGAGCGGGAATCGAGATCTAAGGATGGAGAAGTAGAAATTGATTGTCATATTTTTCGCAACCGGAAAGAGAAAAAGAAAAGAAACGATGTGAGCAAAAGACACATGAGACTCTGGATAGTTGTGGACATGCACGGTAACCAAGGCGGGAAGGGATCGTCAAAAAAAGAGGTGCGGCGGGCCATGCGATGTGAGATGCTGTTTATGCCTGATCTGATCTCTCATCACGTCGGAGCCGGGGTTGAGGTTTTCTTTCTTGCATCTCGGAGAGCCGGTAAGACCGGGATGGGCTGAAAGGAGGGGGGGACGGGACGGATGGATACGCGTATGTATGTATTTGCATAGGTATCCTGCTGGTGAGATGTCATGTCTCGGAGAAGGAGGAGTTTACTCCCCTGCGAGCGACGACTTGGTAACCAGAATAGGCTGCTCACATTGGGGTTTTTATGACTATATCTTTGTAATATATGAGAAGCTACAAAGACGATATACGAAAAAAAGGTGATTGATAGGATTAGAGTTTCTGACAGAATTGCTTCAAGCTAGTTTACTTGATACCTCCTTTACTTGATGTCACCCTCCTTTTTTTTTAATTTTTTTTTTTACTAATGCAGTGACGACTGCAGTAGAGCAGAGTAGAGAAAAATGTCGCAGACGCCCGTCATCGGAGAGAAAGAAAGAGCCTCTGGAACGTGGGAAAAGGCGTTTTTCTTCTTGTGCTGAGTGGAAATAGGGACCTGGATTGCGGGATCTTGGAGGGGTGGATCAGAATCAGATCATGTGATCAAGTGGATTGAGGCCCTTGTCAAGCGGGAGAGCATGTGTCTTTGAATGATGTTTTCTTCTTCTTCAAGCAATGCATGTCTCTCATTGTTTGCCATGGTGTTTTTTTAGTGTATGCCATGGAACAAACAAACAACCATGTCTTGAGGTGCAGGTTTCTCGTTGTTTATCGATTACCCAATTAGGCAAGCTCTCCCTTTTTTTTTTCCCCACATAACTGCCGACAACATTCCAATTTCTTTTACACTCTCTCTCCCTTTTTCATTTCTTGACGCCGGATCTCGATCCTTGAATCGATCTAGCTTTGCGCAGAATCGGACTTGACGTGTCGTAAAACCCAATCTCCAGAAAATGAGCTGAGACAAGAGAGAGAAGTCCTCCGGCCGCGGTTGTGTCCCGATCCGGGGGGCCGTGACGTCGATCACACTCCGGAGTCGGGGACCGGGCTTCTCCGCTGGGGTTGTACAAGGTAAACCTCAACCATGATCTGATGATGCATGGCAGAGATCTTGCTTGACGAGAGGAGCTGAAGAAGAAAAAAGAAATGAGATGGGAGAAGCACAGCTGAGCAGGGGACCAAAGACCTTGCTTCATCTTCACCGTTTGTGCCCTTGAGCTAGAGACCCTGGCGTTCTCGATAGTGTGTGCCTGTCTTTTGACGGGACGGGGTCAGTCACCAAGCTACGGGGAAAACGTGTGACGTCGTTAGGCCGCGTTCTTGAGAGGTTATCATCGGTGTGTTTTGGCTAAGAGTTTCTACTCCGTATCCGTGTATAGCTTGACCATGAACCCAAGACATACAAACACAACGAACAACAGCTGCCGCGATAGCCTCCCCCCCCCCCCCCCCCCCCCCCCCTCGCCTAGAGAAACCACATCCCATGCAGCGTCGCAACGCAAGGGACACACATACATTGCCGGACCTGCAGCGCGTCTATCAGGAAAACCGTTTACCCAGCCAGCGCAACCACGAGGCAGCCCTCCGCCTTTTTGGTCACATTCCTTACAGCGGGCCTCGAACCTTTGCTTTTTCCGAACAGAGGTCTTGCCTCTGCCGCCTTATGTTTCTCTCTCCCAGCCCGCTTTTCTTATGCGGGCGTGGGGGAATCTCTCTTCTCCTTGCATTAAACGCCCCCTCCCCTAAGGTGCGGCATCGACAGGAGGGAGCTTCACTCTTTCTTGACCGGGCACCACGTGGTTTTCCCGGCCGGTAGCTCGCGCGTGGCTGAGACAGAAGGATTGGAAAGAGGTATGGAGTGGCTGCGCGTAGACCATCAATGACGGGGAACGGACTATATGGCCTTGATGGGAAAAGCTGAGAAAAAGGCGTGGCGAGGTTTTGTCTCATCTTAGCCTAGCAACCTCCCCAAATCTTGAGGCCACCCACGATATTCTGTGGGATGATTTATGGTGCTACAGCTCTCTCTCGTCACAGTGACCATGTGAAAGGACGTTATTAGAGTCAAAGAAAAGAAAACAAAAGAAAAGAAAGTGACAAGCATCCGGGAACAAGAGAATAAGTCTCACCGTGATGCACAATACACATGGCTGGCATGCCACACAGCTCCGCTCTTTCTCTCTCCCAGAGCCTCACAAAATGTCCTACAGGGAAACAATAACAAAATCACAAGGGTGTGAAGAGATGAATCTCACACTCTCGGGCGGAAGCAGGAACTTGAGCAACAAGCAGTTCAGATTTTCAACCAAGCGCTGACAGACACGCGGCACAAGAAGAAAACCCGCCCTTGACGGGAAGAGAGAGAAGCAAGTGTAACCGTCACACGAGGAAAGAGTATAGAGTAATAGGCTAAGGAAAAAGATCTTGAAAGACGTGCAGATCGCGTGCTTGCAGCCATGTTTCTGATGGAGTGGCACAGGGGGGGGGAGGGCAACACTTTGGGAGAGCGGGGAGACACGACGCATACGAGGTCTTGTGCTACAGAGAAAGGTATTAAATCAAGGCAACGGGAGTTCAGTATATTATGTGAAGTTGCTTGTGTGTAACCAGACAAGGGAAGAGAGTCATTGAACACTCCTGCAGCTTTGGGTGGTTCAGGCATCAAGACGTCCAGGGATGGCTTCACAACCGATGCCAATCTCAGATGTTGCCTCACAACGACTTCTTGTCGATCCTTTAACATGGAAACTTGGCAGGATACATTTAACCAATAACTTGGTCAATAATTAAAGAGTCATCATAGATATTAGACAAAGAGATGAACGAGAAAAAGAGTCAAGCATCAACCTCCAAATAACACCCCGTGTAACCCAACCTCAACCTCGACGCGATACAAACACAACAACTCACCACATGCACGCACGTTCCCGTGTCCGATGAGCTCAAGCAGGCTACCCGTTCGTTAGATCTCCCCCCTCCACTACCACCCGTCCCCGGGGAGGAGCCTTGTGTACTGTCGCCCTTTGCCCGCATCCCGTCCCATCCTCATCCTCCTCTGTGCGAGTGTGACACACGCCCCCCTCCCTTTCTCGTGTAACAATGTCTGTTCTCCTCTTTCTCTACCCTCAATCGCAGATAGCATCCTCTTGAGGCATCAGCAGCCGCCGTCTTTTCTGTTTGCAGCTTCACTTTCTGTCTCTCCGTTAAAACTTAATGCCAGCCCCTGTGGAAAGGATAATGATATATATAGTTCACCCAGGGTTCAAATAGTCGGCCAGACTAGGGATGACCCAAACACACGCAGGCAAGACAAACACTAGCTAGACCCGGCTGCTTGCCTACCTCCTGTCGTCAGACCCTGAACCTCCTCCTCCTCCTCCCACGTCTTGCTTCATCGGCCGAGTCCATGGCCTGATGTGGCGTCCTGCCTTATTCTACCACCCCCCTCCCCAGCAGGATTCCTTTCTCTTCCACTGTAGATGGCCTCGTCCATTAGATCTGCGACACTTTTCTGTTCGTTTAGCCCCTCGGCACAATTTAAGCGCGGCCAAGATCATCTCTTCACCTAGAATGCAGCTGATGGACCGCTAATCACCGAGCTAACCTTCGCCAATCTTGGATAGTCGGCACAGCAAGTAGTCTAGCCTCGATGCCCAAGTGGCAACTGAGCGCCTCTGTCCTTGTTGGGCTCATGCTAATGCTCATGCTCATGCTCATGCTCGCCCTGAGACAACTTGGCACATTGTGAGCACAGAGCCCATAGCACAGCACAGCACAACTCCATCTCTATGAGCGCCAAGCCTGGTCCAGCATGGCCTTCAACTCCATGCCTATCGCTCTCTGCAATCCCTACATTACATCACACCCGAGAATGCACATTGAGTGAACAGGTGACAGACAGACAGGTCCTCATTGTTGAGCGTGACACAACCACTGATTGCTTGAATCTACTTGCTGCTAAACATCCATCGTTGCTTGTTGACTCTGTCAAAACAGTGATCCGTTTCGCTTCAACATCTGCCTGCTCTGTTCCGCTCTCTTCTTGCCTTGATCGTGTCGTAAAGAAACATGAACCGCACATGCTGTCCGTCCATCCATCCTTCGCCTGGCCCACTCCAGGAGCCACAGGTGGTCTGAGACACTTCTTTCATCCTCCATCCATCCCTTCCCTTCTGCTTCTTCCATCGCCCACGCCGTAAAGCCGCTGCAATTTTCCTCTCGCCCCACAACACCATGTATAACGTACCCTCCAAAAGGAGCTAGGCCAACATCCAGTTGGTCCTATGCGATGATTGCTCTCCGCTGCTGCCCCCACAAACTGTTCCTGGTATCTCTCCACTGTTGGCGTGGTCCAGAAATCTCTTTTGTCTAGGAATTCAAACCTAATCGTTCCGCCCAGAAATTCGACAAAAAGGTACACCTGAAAATAATCCGTGCTTGAAAAATAGTTGGAAGAAAAAACGCCTGAAATGCCGACGGGTCCATCCGCAAAGCCTGAGGTATCCGAGATGTAGAAACGTATATACAGAGAACGCCCTGACGTCGGCGTTCCGAAACCGGGTATTAATAAACGTTGAAAATGTGTCTTGCTTGAAATCATCAAGTGAAGGTTCGCTCTCGCTCCGTCTCGAGTGAGATGTGATGCGAGGAATCGATCATGTGACTGTCGTCCATCATGTCGCAATTTCGTGCGTCGAGGCCGCCAGATGCTGCCCTTGTTGACTATAGTCCGAGAGATTTCATTGTCGGTGGGCCTCTTCAGGCTTGGGACGGATCGACCTGGCCTCAAGCTGGCGCTTTCTCTCCAGTTTGGCGTAATGCAGCCCACAGGCGTTGCAGAGCGTCCTGGCTCCATCGGGTCCACGTCGCCATTCAGGAGTGTCAATTCGGTTGCAGCTGTGGCATCGGCCAGGAGGAGCAGCGCGCTATTTACTTCGTCAGTCCTGAAAGACATCAACGGTTAACAGTCCAACTCACCCCTCGTCGCTTCTTGACTTCTGTGATACCGTACTGGGGCTTCATTCCATCCCCGTACATATTCACATCGTGCTCCTCTTCGTATGGCCCCTTCATCTTGGCACCTTCTCGGGCTCGCTCGTTTTGAATCGAGGTTTGCACAAGGTCCCTCACTTGCTCCAAAGATCGCTTGATGAGCTCAATGTTACTGAGCATATCCGTCACTTCACGTTCCGTGGGCAGTCTTGCTGGGATGGGGTGGGCGCCATGCTGTTCTTGCGCGATTCTGCTGTAAGCTTCCGCAAAGTTGAAAATCGTGCGAGACGAGCTGCCAATCTGTACGGTATTAGTATGCTTTCGTCAATTCGTTCAGTCTCTCACTTACCCGACTCAGCGAGTCTTGGTAGCTCCAGCTCTCAAAGTGTCGGTCCACGGTAGCGTCATATCTGGCACGGGCGGCGTAGTCGGCCTCCTCAGCGTGTGTGGGCGGTCTGGGGTCGTACGGTCCCGGAATGTGAGGTGGCACACCATGTCTGGGAGAAATCGGATAAGTGGGCAGAGGCATCTGACCAGGAGGTAGTTGGCCAGGCTGGTAGGCAACTGGTCCTGGTGGAGGAGGAGGAGGGTGAGCATAGACGCCGTTGAGCGGGTGGTGAGGCTCCGGGGGCTTCTGCTCTGTGTGGTGGTGATGCTGAGGAGGCAGCTCAGGCTTGGCTGGTGGGCTTTGGCGGCGATCAGAGACGGGAGGAAGAGATGGCCGGCTGCTGAAAGGGGGCCGAGGCGAATCTGAGAAGGCAGGTAGAGCATCCTGTCGCGGAGGGAACGATGATGTCGGGTGGAGAGGGCCTGGGGAGTGCTTCTCAGCCTCGGGGAATGGTCGAGGAGCCGTTGCAAAGGGTGAAGGCAGGCTGGAGGCGGATTGGAGGCCGGAAGAGTGAGCGGGAGGGTAGTGACCCGGTTTGGTGCCTGAGATGACCTCTGAGATGGATGGAAGCGACTGGCGATTCGATGGCTCGTGGTCGTCGGTCGACTTTCGAGGCTCAATGGAGGAGATCATGTTGGAGATGCTGGCACCCGAACTCGGATGGGAGTAGCTGGAGGGCGACGAGAAGGACGGCTGAGGTTGATAGTGGGAGGACGGAGTGATGAGAGTTGCCGTGGCCATGGCGGGAGTGTCCCGATACGACCTGTCGAGAGAATCCCGCGAGTAGGATGAGTGATGTCGATGATCCGAGTAAGGCTGTTCGGGTTGGGGTAGGTGGTGGAGTTGGTGTTCGGAGTTTGTTGCAGAGTGACGGCTGTGGGAGCAAAGGGGATGTTAATATGGGAGGGGCAGACAGAAATACGAGAGCTCTCAGGTCGGGATTCAGACGGACCTTTGCCTGGTTCCAGAGTCAACCGCTTCCATAGCGGGTCTGGCAATTACCAATGATGATTTGGGACAATTTTAAGGCCGTAGATGCATCTGACCTGGCTAGATCCGGCTGGGGGGTGCTTGACGGGTGAAGGAAGAGAAAGAAAAAAGATGGGGAGGGGGTGGTAAAGGAACTCAAGGAGCCAGGAATGGGGTCAATACACGGGACCAGGACAAGATGTGACAACGGACTCAGGTGAGGATTGGGGATGGGGGTGTAGAAACGGGGAGGGGCCGACGAGGCGAAATAAAAAGAGGCGAAGAAGCAAAGAAACAAATAATACCAGGCAGGGCCAGGGGGGTGTGGGTTAGATCTGGCGTGCGATGGGCAAGCGACAGGGACCCTCGTGGTGGCGCTGGGCGGGACGCTGGCAGGGGGTTCCGCCTGGGTCTTGGTTGGGACTTGTTCTTGGTCAACCGACGGGGGGGCTGACTGGAGACCGCGGCGTGAAGGGTTGGCGTTGGCGTTGGCGCTGGCGCTGGAAAGGCTGACTGGGGAACGCCAGAACAGAACTCTCGGGGCAGAAAGATGGATGATGCTCGTCTCCGGGACACAGACGAGAGAAGCAGAGTAGCGCAAACTCAACAAGGCGGCCGACTGTCGCGGAGCTGGCCCAATGGCCGGGGTCTGGGGACGTAGCGTTCACTCTGGTCCAAGACAACGCGCGAGAGATGGTCGAGTGGAGCCAGAAACCACGGCACTGGATTGCACTTGTCTCTGGCTGGGAGCTAGCGAATTGCTGAGGGGGGCCTTGTGTTTTTGGCTGGCGAGGGGGGCAGATCGCTCGACAAAACGTGGGCAACGGTGTCGCGCGGCGTGGGCTGGAGTGGGAGCCTCGTGCTGGAATGTACCAGTTGGTTGACCGAGCCTTGGCTTGGCGGCCTTCTTTCTTGGTTCTGGGAGCCGTGATTGATGCCGTCACGGTAGTAGTAGTCGTCGTATCAAGCGGATCTGAACAAGAATCTCTTCCTTCCTTCTAGCTTCGTGGCTGCGTCCTTTGGTGTTCCGATATGTGAGGGGACCTGGGAATTGACTCGCGGATATGTCGACAACACACAGACACGGAGCCGGGCAGCGCTGGCCACTAGAATGGCGGGCAAGGACAAATCCTGCTGCTGCTGCGGACGGCGGTGTCTCTGCAAGCGCTTGAGTCAGCGCGGGAGGCACAAAAGAGGCACAGAGTGGGTAATTAGGCGATGGGAGATGTCGAAGTGAAAAGACGAGGTCGAGGATGGAGGTCGAGAATAGAAATCGGTTATCTCTAAAGGATCGAGGTTAGGTTTCCGTTGGGAAAGGAAGGGGGGAAATGTGGAGGTGGGAGGAAAGAAAGGAAAGAGAGGAGAGGGAAGTAAATGGAGCACAAAGGGCAAGTGCGGAGGAAGATGAGGGAGATCGGGCAGGTAAGGTAGGTTGAGATGGAAGGAGCAGCACAGCAAGCAACATGCACTGCAATTACCACCTCACCTCAACGAGTGCAACCGCCGAGAAATCACCAAATGCATTTGTTGCATACACCAGATGTGAGATCAGCGCCTTGAAAACCCGTCCATTTACCACTAGGACGGGCCAAGGTCACGAAAACTACGGGGACCTGGGGGTCTACGAGAAGCAAGCAAGCAAGCAACCACCTAGACAGGCAAGCAGGCAAGCAAGCCCAGCCCTGGAGAGACACATCGGACATCGATGCATCCATCACACACACAACACACACGCGCGCACGCATATTGGGAAGCGCCAGCAGCCAGCCAGCAAGCAAGCAAGCAAGCAAGCAACCTTCAAGCAGGGGGGAGGGTTTTCGTTTCTGTCAGTTCAGTTCGGGGAGCGTGAACATGGATCAGCCAGCACAAGGTACCTGCGGCGCGGTTATTTGTAAGAGATACAAATCAGCCGATCCAACACGGCAATGTGCCTTGACCGACCGTGTCCCAGGATGTCTGGCCTTGGTTCTACGAGAAGGAACGCTTGATCGGGATCAAGAGATGATCTCTATGGGTGGTGGACTTGCGCCGCCAGCATCGGGTGACGATACAGAACTCTACAGGCGCTTCACAAGAACCGTTCTTTGACGCAGCGAGCGTTAGGTCGTCGCTCCTGCCGGGAACGGTCGCGGGTAGAGGTACCATCCACGCGACAGGGATGATCAAGGTTCGCTTCCAGTTGGAATCTGGTAAGGATGCCAGGGAGAAGGGGGGAGGACGACGGCACGACGGTTTACAATACGGTATGGGTGGAGAGGAAGCGCAGGGATCCGACAGAGAATCGATCATGGATGAGTGGGCCTATTGAGAACAGACGAGCGAGGGTGATCGATGGCCGATGAAGCAGGCAAGGGCAGGGGACGCCATGCTGCCCTAGGGCTGTGGTTTTTCGCCTCTGGCGAGATTTGGAAGGGGGCTCAATCTCTTCATCTCTGCTCATCTCATCTTGGTCGCCAGCGCATAACAGAATTGCGTCCCCGATCTCCACCGTCCGCTTCAGCGCGCTCACCCAGACGCCGCGGCTGACGGGTTTGCGCGAGTGCAGAGGCCGGAAGGGGCGAGACATTGGGGCACCATTCATCCAGTGCCGTCGATTCAGACGCTGGCCTTGTCGGGTTCTGCACCGATGGCCAGGGCATGACGATAGCTCGGTGCAGTAGCGGCTGGGCTTTGGAGATCTCCAATCTCGAGCACTGGAAAATGGTACGACTTGCAGGGGGTCCTTGCTCCTGGGGGTCAGCAGCGGTCTAGCTTTGGTGGTCCACAGAGAACACCAGCATCCCCCCGGACCACCCCCAATGCCACTCGACTGGGAACCGACGTTGTTTTGTTGATGCTTCCAGGCGAGGGCGCGAGCCGTCTTGGCTCCTGCTGGTCCTTGTTGGGTCTGGCGATGGTGGTAAGCGCAGCGCACGTCGTGAGAGGCTGAGGGTGCTGAAATCTGACGTCGGGCCTCTGATGACGGACGCGGATGGGGTCATTGGTGGGTGAGAAGCTCGGCTGGGGGAGGGAGGCCACGGCTGCAGCGCTTGGCAGCAGTCTTGTTGCTTCTGACGCTGCTGTTGGACCTCTCTCGTGGGCAGCCAGGCCACCCATCACATCGGCATTCTGGCGCTGGGCTGGAGGACTGTCTCTCATCGACACATCACATTTCGATCCAGCACGGCTCCCCTGCCTACTACCCCCTCCCTCCCCTGCCGTTATGCGCTAGGGGCGTGGGAGTGCAGCGACGCTAGCCTGAGGTAAATAGGGGGCAAAAGGGCAGGAAACTTTGCCATGGCTCAGATGCGTCAAGATAGGAGATGAGGGCACCGTGCAAGCTTGGACGAGAAGCATGGAACATGGGGGATTCGCGGCTACCTAGAAGAGGCAAGGTACAAGCTCGTCGTCGTCGATGCTAATGAAGAGGCGCGGACAGGCTGCGGAGGAGCTTCAGCCGCGGAGGTCGGGATGGCTCCAGGGTCAGGCGTCTAGAACGATGAGATGGAGGACGATGAGGGAGGGTGGTTTGACCGCGGGTGGGATGGTGCCAGGTAACGCTACAGCAACTAAACCCCCTCTAGGCGATGACGGATGGGCGAACGATGGACGATGAAGCGATGGACGATGTGACGATGAGCGAGATGGGCCGCTATCCAGACCCAGATTGGGGCGTTCCGATGGATGGGCGGCACCACAGCCAGGTACGTCAGCGGGCTGGGATCAGGCCCCGAGCATCTTGTGGCCGTCAATGAGGTAGCGGCATGTACGAAGTACCTGGGAAACCTCGGACTGACTGGCCTCGAATCTCCTTACATCAGAGAACCACTGTCCAAGTACCTCGAGGTCCCCTTGCCGGGGGAAGAAGAAATCCAATTGAACGGCCCCCCCGCGAAGAAAGCGGCAGGGATAATTCCCAGACGGCCTAGCCGCCACCACGCGAAGTTGTTGACGGCGCCGCTCTGGCGGGTTGCCCATTACCCAGCACAGATGGCCCGCGGACCTAATCTCTCCAGATCAGACACGCCCTCGATTAGTGCGCCGCCGCAGTGGACGGACGGGCTGGGTCGGTGTGGTTGTCGCCACTTCGCCGATGAGCCAAGATGAGATGAAGATGCCGTCCTGGAGGGATACTGTACAGTACTGCGTTGTGCTGACTGGTGTTTCTGGTTGGGGCATGTTTCTACCGCTCGCCGCCAATATCTGGTGCCCGACGACACCTTCTTGCATCGGCATCAGGTCTTGAGCCCGTCGTCAATCGGAGATGGGGTGGTTGTCAGCCAAGATTGGAGATGCAATGCACCTCAATCTTTCTACGGACTCGCCGTCTTCGCTTGACGTCGACAAGCAGATAGGCAGAGATGGATGCTGAACCAGAGGCGCTCGTGCCAAGCAACGTGGACTACTCCTCATGGTCATCTGGTGATGGCTTCCACCGACCTTCCTCCTCGGGACAGGCAAGGCCCGGCAAGCACCTGATGGCCGCCGGGCACATCCCACGATTTGATAATGAACGCCAGCCCGGGCAGAGGAGATGACTGAAACACATGGATAAGTGTGTACTGCACATGAATAATGTTGCGTACACACGGCGTCGATAGCGTGAGGGTTTCAATCTGAAAAGCTGAGCCATCATATCGCCGGGCGTCGCATCCCGGATGCCCGACTCGCCCTCCCCAGGGTGATCCCGGCGGGCCATCGCCCGTCCCAATCTCCGTTGCCCCAAAATTCCCCATCTCACCGGCCTTCCAGAATGTTGTACGAAGGTGGTAAAGCGCGCAAATCCCTACTCTAGTCGGGGTTCTCTGGTCTAGTCGGGGTCCGACTCGTTACCGTGTTTGTCAACCGTCTTTCTTTGCTGATCTGTTTGATGTTGTAGCATTTCTGTCTTGTGATGGGCAATTCTGGCTTGTCTACGACGCTGAGATGTCACCTCGCAATCACCAAAACAAGGCATCACCGGTGTGTATTGGGGAATCACGATCTGCAGCTCGCCCTCGCACGGTTGCTGCCAGGAGGAAATGGATGGTTAATGG